GTACACCTAGCATGGCCGAACTCGTGTAGGATGCGTGGTAGAGGCGACGGTCGCTCTTATCTCTCCTGCATCACCACTCATCCCCACCCTTAGTAACCCAACCTTTCCACCGCGCAGTCAGCACGCTCACTCCGGTACACCTAAGAATGGTCGATCATGTGTTCCCGCGACGCGGGCGCACATCCATGATACAGCGCCATCGCGCTGAGTAACGTAACTTGCTTGCTTGCTTATTTTTGGTTCGGCGTGCTTTGGGTAAAAGCAAGCATGCAGTTTGTGCGACCGGCATCCCGTAAACCAAGGCGCCGGGTAGAGGACGGCGTGAGATGAGCCGGTCTGACCAACATTGTTCTGGAATGCTTGAGGCGGCGATGTCGTACTCAGCCTCATGGTGTTGGTAAGCGTGCGTCTTAAGGGTAAGGGTGAGTTGATATGTGGGAAAGGGGGTAGGCATCGGGAGGGAAGGAGGGCTATATGGAGATGTTGCAGGGCGAGTCGACCATGTCGCCATGGGATGTTACTGTGAGTTGGCGGCTATTGAGTCGAGAAGTTACATCTGTCTTCGTCTATTTTGGTCAATGGTTCGCTGTTTCCGCAACCTCCGGTGCATGTCGAATCCTCTTCCGTTCCGTCCCCTTTCTTTAGTCTTGCATCTCTTCTATTTCTAGCGTTTACTGCCCCTCTCTGGATGTTTGGCGCACCTGTAGAAGATGAGTAGTGTTGACTTTGACTCCATTGAAATTCAGGGGAGAGATATGGTGATGTCTAATCCTAGTCCAGGCTCTGTGGGCGCGCGGTCTCTAGAGAGTGCGAGAAGTACTACACCTGTTGCCTTACAGAATCCGCCTTGTTTACTGTGTGCTAATCACGCAATACACTTGATACGCATTCTTTCACTGTCAATTCTATCCCAAAACGGTTCGCCGCACATGCCCACCGCTCGCTGCTATGTCCAACCAAGATCATACGATGGACCGGAAGACTCATGACGTGATCGACGTCAAGATACCAAATCCATGAGATCGTTCCAGAGCATCGCGGGTCTCGCGGGTCTCGCGAGTCTCGTATGTAGCACTCTCATCGAAGTACCATTTGGCGATTCCACTCTTCACAGCACTCCACGATTGAACACCATCCGCCCTCGTACGAACTATGATCCAAGCAACATCGCCAACGCGGAAACATGGAGCACATACGCTACAAAAGGCGGATGGCTCAATTGTCTCCTGGATATGACCGACTCGGAAGCAGGCAAAGCATGGCCCGACTGGGTGGGTGGGGGAGGCGGCGGGGAGGAGGAGGGGAGGCGGAGGGGCGGTGGTGGATGGCATGAATCGCGAGAATGACTTGATGTACGTGTTGGTGCGGATTCAGAAGAAACCACTGTTTTAGTTGGTAGGTTTGTCGCTGTTCCTGTTCTCACACCACTACTACATGTATCTCCACACAACAGGCAGAGATTCAATTTCCTCTCGCCCCTGCCAGACAAGCAAATCTGAATACCCTGGTACACGAGGATGTCTACCTCTATCAGTACAGCGGGCTCACTCATTAGTACAATACCCGTGTACCTCCTTCTCCAACATAAAGCCTCACTCAGCGATAAGCATATCATTTAAATCACGATGTTTCGCGATTACAGAGCGAAACCGTCGTTCCAGGCGAATATTCAGTTGCTGTTTCGTGTTGAAGACGTTCCGGAGGATGTTCTAAAGTCTGATAATATGGATGTTGGGTGCGTAGCTGGAAACGTGAACAGGGAAGTAGGTCAAGGGAGGAAGTTAAGAGAACCAATATGGTGACAGAGGAGGTGGACACAAGAAATGATGTGCGAAGATTGCATGAGATCAGTGTTTATAGGGGCGGTAGGATGGCGGTGGTTAGTTATGGGGTTGAGCAAGTTTGATGACGCCTTCGGAGTGTACATTCACTCCACACTCTACGCCCTTGAACAATCGCCACTCGCCGCGTATGCTTTCTTATCAACGGTTGTATCCACTTGTTTAGGCGCACTCACGACTATGACGGAGCGCTTGGTGTGTATACTCCTGACTTCTCTCGCTTGGAGTAATGCAATGCTCAACCAAATTCACGCCCATACCCTGAGAAACGAAATCCGTGTGTCACTTCAGCCATGAAGATTGCTACACTACTTCTTACCGTGATATGTGTACCACTGGTCTACAGCAAGCATGCCGAAGTCCCCTTCGGCTCCTCCAACTCCACAGCTTTCACACCAGGCCTTCTAGATCGTCGCGATAGCGCAGTGAACATCCCATCTACCAACGACAAAGCCTCCGCCTCCGAGCCGAATCTAGTCCAGACTGCTGTGGACTTCGACCCCACCGAATACGCGAACGATGCCAGCTGGGACAAGTACAAGAAGAAAGGCAATTGGCTGCGTTGCCTCATGGAAATGCCAGACGAGGTCGCCGGCCGAAACTGGCCCAACTACCTGGATCGCAATCCGCCATCAGCGGCAAGCCAGTGGAAGGGAACGCTTGAAGGCAGGTTCTATCCATTCCATCATCATCCTTACGCAGCCATTGACACTGACATGCATCCAGCCGAGCTAAGGGATTGGTACTGGCACGAAGCCTACTATGACCCGGAAATCAACTGCGACTTTTCGGACGACTTCGCAAACTTAGAGATAAACAACAGAATAGAGGCTGCGCTGAATGAGCTCGGATTGGATACCAAGCCGGTGGAATTTGGTGGCAAGAACAAGTGTTACTCTATCGAGCATATGGAAGAGGACGCGGTGGATGATGATGGTTATGAGCTCCCGGTAGACATGCAGACTTACTTCCCTGACGACGACGACGACAAAGAGTATGGCGTGAGTATTCTAGGAAGAGAGATACGCCGAACATTGACAGTTTGGCTGACTATACGTAGGCCACTGGAGCTTACTACCGCTTCGCTTTTAATGCTGAACAAGGAGGTAAGACATCCTTCCACCCATCTTCACTCACCACCGCCACCCACTAACGTCACTCTCAAGCAATCTACGGCCACAACTTCCTCGCCCCCTGGCCCGCCGCCATGGATACCTACGCCGAAGGCTTTCCAGTGGACCAACTCCCCCTCCTCCGCCAAGCCTCCGACATCATGGCCGCCTTCTGGCTGCGCAACCCCAATCCCAAAAACCTAAAATACTGGTTCGGCAGCAACATCATCAACACCGAAACCGTACCCGTCGTCAACCGGATTCTCGTAAGCAAGGGCTATAAAGATATACCGGAATGGCCAGGTGTTCAAGTAGACGAGTCCAGTGAGGAGTATCTCGCGCTCCTAGGCACACCCGTCGGCGCAAACAAAGCGTTTATGCTGGTCCAACACAAGGCGGAATTGGGGTTAAAACATATCCCCAGTATTACGATTTTCCGGGATACAAAGGATCCCAATCGCCCGGACGATGCGCCGGCATACCAGCTTTTGTTTCGCATTGAAGATGTGCCGCAAAATGAGGTTATGCCTGATGATACGGAGATTGTGGATCAGGAGATGACGGGCTCTGCGTCCCGGATGAGAAGGGGAGAGAGGAAGGATAGTGCGGTGGAGCTGGATTTGGGGAAGAATGTGGGGAGGTTGCATAGGGTTAGTATAGACGGGCGGGGAGAGACGATGTTGCAGAGCCATGAGGTTGAGCGGGAGTTGTGATGGGGTTGATTTGCTGGCTTGTTGTGTTGGTTACCTAGGTAGGCCTTGGTGAGCAGCTGGATGTTGTTAGATTACGAATGAGGAGCATGTAACTGCGATTGCAGATAGATCGCGACCGCATTCGTACAAAACATGCGAATGGGTATAGCGCGAAAAGTAGACGCAGACCCGACTTGCTAGTCTCACCATTGCATCCTGTCTCCATAGTGCCTTCGTTATGGCAACCAGGATACTCAACTCAACAACTGAAGAGCCTGCTAGCCGCAAGCCACACAGCATGCATCTCTACAGTCCCTGAAAGCCCGGCATCTGAATCAGATCCCAGCACATCATACGTAGCAAAAGAGTAGCGGTGGATCCCGTCGCCAAGTGACAGCCTCACATTCGCATCGGCGGTCGATTGGTCTGGGTGTCTTGCCGTAGCGCAGCGTGCGCAGCCAGACCCTGACAGCGGGTCCCAGGGCCGGAACTTTATCATGGCCAGGTAGCATCTGTCGTCTCCACATACGAGTCGAGCGCGCATATGTGGGCGTGTGTCATGTCGATGTCGGAGAGATGGGATGGTTGGGAGAACTGGGTGGCTGATGCAGGGAGGTGTTAGCGCTGGTGAGTAGCGCGGTCTAGTCTCGCCCGAAATAGGAGCACGTCTGCCGCTGCCTTTTTGCTTTTCTTCAACACGGAAGTAATCGCTCGGACTCGTATTTTCCTGGTTGCGAAACAGAGCTGTCGCTTTAGACCTCGATTCATCATCTTCTTTACGCGCTCGCCTCGTGATGATCCGATTGCAATGACATTGAAGGTCCACGGGTACTTTGGGTGGTTGGGTATGTGATGACTGTGATCTGCCGACGACTGATTCTGCGCTGGTACAGCCCTCGATGCGGGCAATCGTATAGTTTGCCTTAGGATATCTATCTCTGGGCCTCTGTTGGAAACGTACCTAGGTAGTTCGTGGCAAAGGCGAGACAGCCCAGCACGCGCCACGCTGTCTCTCCAGCACGCGCCACACTATCTCGCCAGCACGCCACACTATCCCCGCGGGGGATACTTGGCGCATTCTCGATGCAACAGCGCAGACGCAAACCTGACGAAACACGAGCAGCATGATCTATACACGATGTTCCATTCTCTGTTAGTTAATACGTTTGCGAGTAGAAGACCGGGGTACCTAAGTGAATTGTTCATTGTTAGACGCGATAGGAAGTACCTAGGTAGTGGGCAGATTCGTGCGGTGAGTATACAGAAGTTGATTTTAAAGAGGAAGGATATCAACAACACTAAAGCAATAGAATTTCATTACCCGATGTCATGCAATGCATATCCAGACAAAATCGTCACGTCGACTGATCCTTGATACCATCGCAATCAACGCCGCTCTCCTTCAATAACGCCTCAATCGTCCCAAGATCTTCCTTCGCCTTCGAAAGCGTCCTGCCAATCGACTCACGAACCTTGCGGTCTTCTCTGTGGTCCAGGTTCGCCTGCTCCACTCCCAATCGCTTCAGATCATTACCGATGGCCTGGAATAACGACTCAATCTTCTCCTCCAAGTACTCCTTGATCACCTGCTTTTGACTGTCGATGGCTTTTTTCAGTTTTACACAAATCGCGTGGTATGGCGTTGTATCTTCGTCGCGAAGCAGTCTTTTGAACGTTCTATGTTGCATGACCTTTCGTGTCTCCTCCTTTTTGTTTCCTCGCCTGGTCTCTTTGCTCTTGTTGTATACATCGATCATGGCGTACCCGAAGTAGGAGATATCGTCAGTGTCAGTAAGACAGCGTAATCTCTGCTTCCTACGGTCGAAGTCAGCAAAAGAAGTGGGGCGTCCGCTCGCCGAGTACCTACTCGATGAACGTTCTCAGATTGGTAATGCACTTGGTTTTTATCGTGGTAACAGGTGCAAATTTCATGTAGATGCTGTTGAGGAGTAGGTTCAGCTCAGCAGGTCTAGAGTCTGGATACTGCTCTTCATATCGTTAGCTAGGGAGTCAAGTTTCGTATAGGCAACTCACTGCGAATGTCCTCGGCTAGCTTCCCCATTGCTGACAGAATTTCTCGTTTCACTGGTTCGATACTATTCCATAGAGCTTCATGGATGTTCTGAAAAATCGGGTTGAGGCTCATGCGGTGCTGCTCGAGCAACTGATGGTTCCAACTGGGCTTGCCCTTTCTAGGCTTTTTGTAATTGCCTTGAACGCCATCAGTCGAACTTTCTATACATGAGAAGGTGTCTATTACCTAGGTTGCCGACAAATGTTTTGTGCGTATTATGATGCCACTATAAGCGTTAGCAGGTATCTCTAAGATATTTTCAAATCCCACCTGAAGCCACACTTCGCACAGTTCCTCAGCACGTTCGATAAATGCAGGTAGCCGCGTACGCAACGTGACCAGTAAGGGCTTTTCGATTCGATCCCTGAATACATCGTCGATGCATCGATGGACCTTCTTTACACATGTCTGGGACGGTATTAGTTTGGCTTTCGTGGCACTCTAAACCACTTACACTACTCAGATTTTCGACTCCACCTTCGATTTTGATTTGGAACACATCGGTTCGTTTGTTGATCCCCATCTGCATGCTAAGCATGAGACCTGGTAATGTTGCGCCCACATAGCGGACTAGCTCTTCTACTCGCATGGGCGAGCATAACGAAATGAGATGTTGCTTCAATGCAGGTATCTCCGTGTCCTTGGGGCTGAGAGGAAGAAGGGCGGAATCGTGAGCAGCAATCCCCCTAATGTTACGCTGATAGTCGAAAGCGGACACACAAAACACTGCGTGAGGACGGCCTTTGCCCCGTGCTGCTGCCATAAGCCTTTCCTTCACGCGCCGGCTGCGTTCCTCAACAAGCACTTGCGCAATGCTATGTCCCAATTAGTATCAATAATGCCCGAATCCTCAGGCACTACACGTACGCTTTCTTAACATGCTTTTGCTTCAACTGGTTGCGTAGTATAGCTTCAGCGGCGGACGGGTCCAACTCTTCGTTTTGGAGCTGTTTGAGTTTTTCGTGAAGCCTCATATACGTATGCTTCTCGCTTGGGCTGAGCTTAGTGTGCCTGCTGGGGACTAGGCCAACGTCCTATCTTGGAGTCAGCAAGAGCGTCCTGATAGATCGATTCTTCGTACCTCAGAGAATGTAGCGACTACTGTCACAGGACGGTGACGCTGGATCTTCTCAATTTGATTGGGGAGGCTGTCGTCAGATATGATGCGACTAATGTTGCACGCTATTATCACGGACGAACAAGACGGTAGGTAGTCGTCCACGCTGGCACGCGCAAGTCGATTCAAGTCGTTTCGACCCGGCGTGTCAGCGATTACGATGTGCTCGCTCAGGGCAAAGGGGCCGCCGATTTTGACAACTTCGACGAAGGGCCAAGCGTCGCAACCTCTTCTTGAGTCATCGGCCGAGCGACCATGCGTGAATCGAGCAAGCTCATGCCACAGTTCTTCGGTGGTTCTTTTGTAGATGTCTGTGTCCTGACAATCAAGCTCATCGTACATGTCGCGAGCGCGACTGACAAGTCGATCTCGTATATCATGTCGCACAGGTGCCCGTTCACTGCTCAACAGGTAGTCCTTCATGGTCTCTTCGTCCTCAAAACTGGGGTCTCCACGGAAGAGTGCTTGGAACACCCCTGTAGCTGTTTCCGTATCTGCCCCTGGAGAATCCGGGCCTGCGGGATCTGGGCTTTGATCTCCTTCTTCATCTTCATGCTCGCTCTCGTCTTCATGTGACAAAAGCCCGTGGTTCCAGTGTTCGAAGTACGTCTCGATTCGCTTCTGTACAGATTCCCACGGGAGGAAAGAGATGATTGCGCGGTATTTGAAACGTGAGTCGTGATCGATCCAGTGATGGTACTCGAGAATCACTCTGGTAAGGCTCTCGCCACTCTTTGCCTAATTGAGTTTTAGCCTCAGCTACCTAGCTGCTGATGCAAACAGTTGACGTACAGTTTGAACTATACCCTCGTCACCTAACAGACCTCCGATAAGGCAAGATTTACCTTGTCCAGTCTCGCCTACAATGCCGATTCGCATCGGCCCACTGACGTAGGGTGAAACAGACTTTCCTGCCTCCTCAGCTAGTGGATCCCATGAACTGTGCCAATGATTCTTTCCAAGGTTGATAGCAGCGATCAAAGAGGCGATGGTCTTCCCTGACTGTACCTCTGCCTCCTTGTATCTTGGGTCATGGAGGGCGACGCCTTCTGATCTGTGATCAGAATGGGGATCGTGTTTGTTACCGAACCCTTGAGTCAGCAGCATGGAGAGTTGTTCGTCGTCTTCGATCAATTTCAGCACGTCGGTCGGTGAAGCGGATAAAAGATTCGGCTGCTGGGCCGACGCATCTCTCGGCTGTTCGATATGGGCTCGACCATTATTGGTCTCGATCGATTCGCGGACTTGCTTTCCTTCGCTCAAGAAACCTGGGTGTGTTTGACGTGGAACGGATGGTCGAGGAGGAGGCGAAAATGTAGTATGCCTCGTTGGGAAGCGTTGCCGTGCTATTGATGTCGATGTTGGGGTGGCATATCGGTGTATTGACGAATTATTGGTTGTTTGGGGGGTTAATCTCGATCGGTACAATGACCGCGTACTTGTTGCTTCTGTAAAGGCTGAACCGCGTGACCGAGCACTTATAGAAGAGCGAGGTTGTACCGATGATTCTGCTGTCGATGATTCCTCCATAAGACGATGGGAAGACACATCTCTGATACGACATGCCTCATTAGGAGGGAGTGGTAGAGGGGAGCGCGAACGGCGCTGCGTGACCGATAGAGATTGAGAACGACCGGTATCGTCTCGTTCTGGACGCTGAGAGGGGCGGTGTCGTGAGATATGATCACGATCCATATCGTATAGCAGGACAAATGAACCGAGACTCGTGCATCAAAATGAATAAAAAGCTTTCTTGGTGACAGAGAAGTAAGGATCCGGTATCGTCTGTTCAGGATCCCGATGCACAAGGTAGAAGAGAATCAACAAAGTTGCTTTCAAGTAAGGTGCAATAGTAGCACGAGCTCTGTTACTGAGAGCTAAACGTCGATGAGAGTCGACTAACTCAACGCTGACGGGAATCTGGCGACAGAAAAGACTCCGGTTAAGTACTGGAGCGTGGGATCCCCTCGCACCCCCGATCAAACATAGAACCCTGCCATGTTGCACAGGCGAATCAGCCAGGTAGTGTATGGAAGACCAGGCGTCTCCATTGCACTGTCCTCATGCAGCCACCCGTGCCAGATGTCACACTGTCGCAGTCCTGGAACGAGGCGACAAGTAAGAGCGGTGAAGTCTGCTCTTCTCCATTGGTGACCCGTATGCACTGTCCATGGGAGTGATGCGGTCTCTGCACATAGCATGGAGCTGCGGGTCGCCATCGCGATAGTGATCATAGTGCGTGATGACAGGGTGACGGGAACCCGTTATGTGATTGTTGGGGCATGTAGGTATCAGGTTGGTAAAGTAGCGAACCTTGGAAGTGTTTGTGGCTGGAGGCGACCTGCCATGTGACATGTCCCCAGAGTTCGACGGAAACTAACTGCTTAGCGTAGCATGCCAGGCAGGCGTCGCCCTGTCAAGCTGGTACTGGATACTGTGGAAGATTCCAGGGCTCTGGAGCCGGGATCGCCCGGAGAAGCCCCTCAAGACCTGGCAGTGGGGCAAAGACATCGAAGCATGGACGGACTATCTGCCCATTGCAATGGAAACGCGCAGGTACAGGTTTGAGTGAACTACCTATTTTCAACATGCGTTTAGAACTTGCTGCTGTTTGTTGTTCCCTGCGGTAATAGTCACGTAAGCTTAGCTACCTAGGTACCTAAGTAGCATACACTAGGACACAATAACGCGACACTACTAGTTGCAACCCCTCAGAATAACTGCCTAGTCAGTTTGACCTTGGACTCTAATCAGTAAAGTCTTTGAAGCAAGCAAACGCGTATGATTCCCCATTACAGGATGCCTAAAGTCGCGAGCATCGACAACAGCGGGGTCCAGACGCGTCGCGTGTGCCTGCGCCCAGCTTCCAACGGAAGGTGACCGGCCATGCCTTAAGGCCTGGCGATGGCTTGCATACGCGAAGTCAATGTTTCACAGCCTTGTATTGGAAGATCCACACGGGGAGCCGGCATGGCTGGTAAGAAACAGGCTGGAGGGTGTATTCGGCTTGGAGGCTACCCTTTTGAGCCTAGCAACTACCTAGATAGGTCTAGCAGCTTTTGGGGAGCACGTGACTCTAGGAGGAGCGATCCGGATAGTACCTTGTTTTGATACCAAAGGAATTTTACTTTTGTACACATGCTTCCTCTAATTCTTGCTCTACTCTCTCTTCGCTTTCTCTTTCCCGATCTACTCCACATAAAACACCTCCTCCGTTTGACCCCACCACCCAGGTCCTGTCGCACTCCCCTTCGCACCCTTCACAGGGCTCTCCTGCATCTTATCCGTCATCTTCCACCATTTCTGCACGACCTTGTTCTCCGCCATGCGCGCCATGTCTTCGTCGAAGTTTTCGCCAACGTATTTGAAGGACGCAAAGAGCATGGGGCGGGGGAAGAGGTTCATGTATATCGAGTCTGATAGAACACGTTAGTAAACATGGCTTGATCTGATTGACAGGTAGCTCAGGTGAGTAATAAGCAACGTACAGTCCTTGATATTCGAGTCCTTAATCTGCTCCAGCACCTCCGGCCAGACTTCCGCATGGCATTTCTTGTATTCCTGCACACATTCCGGTTTTAGCCAGAGCCACTGGCCTATTCTGCGGGGACCTTGGTCTTTCTTGTCGAGCGCATCCGGGTCTTCTCCGTTCTTGATCGCCATTTCACGGGCTACTTTGCGGCGAGTTTGTTCTTCGTTTGCGAGTCCGCCTGATAGAGCGAGGACGGGGTCCGTGATAGCAGCCCACATTGGCATTGTGGAAGTTGGGCTAGGGCGTTTGGTTGTTGGTGTGACGAGAAGGTGGTTTGGGTATTTGGTGGTTTGGGTGGTGGTGATGTTGTAGCGGGGAAATTGGTAGAGCTATAGCTTTGGAGGGGTAATTGTCCGTCTTAGCTATCTTCTCCCATTGACGGGCCGTCGCGTTTATTTGTGTGAGCGCGTCTTGGTCGGAACATCATGTGCCGAGGGGCAAGGCTTGGTGGAGCTTGTACGGCCCGCCGTGTGTGGCAGTGAACATGTCAGTGTGGGGTACAGAGCTGTACGCCTAATCAGGTATGACGATGTTTTGAAGACGGGTTGTGAGATCAAACGAGGCTCTTGCGGCTCAAGGCTTGGCTGTGAGGCGGAATTGTGGGCAAGGCTGGATGCCTGGCTGATTTGTGGAGAGGAAGTAGATCATGGGATGGAAGCGTGAGTGGAGCTTTGATGGCTGGGTTGTGGCAGTGACGATGGCGCTTGGGGCAGGGACGCTAGAACTTCAACTGTTCGAGGATGGGTGTTCAGAGAGCTGCACCAACGTCCAGAAAACACCATATTCAACCCTCGCAACTAAATCCATGCATCAAAGTACTAGTTTCACGATAAATAGCCCAGCAAGAATGCGGGGGCGAATGCTAGACGATGCAGCGATTGCCGGACTACCTTGAGAGGTGAGTGCGACGGTCGCGACATTACATGTGTCTCCATTAGGACCTACACTGTAACCCATCTTGGTGTTTGGTAAGCTGTAAAGATGATGTATTCCTCCAGCAGGTATTGGAGGTTGAGGTTCACACGAGCTGGACTGTCTCTGAATGTCGCTGTTCGCACTTGCCGTTTTGGCACTCACTTTCCTCCTTTGCCGACGTCCTCTCGATATACTGGTGTCTGATGTCACCCGTCTCTTCTTCCAATGCTTCGAGTCCTGGTGCATTTTAGCTGCCATGTCGAGAAAACATCTACAGACAACAGGCAGGGTCGGTGTCCCATCGGCGGTGTCAAAACAGTCTTTCGCAAGACGAAAGCGGTGAAGATGCTGCGAGAACATTTGGCCGGACTTATGGGTAAGCCCGAAGGTATTCAGATCATTTCAAGGCTTCTTTGAGGTTTACCGTTAGTCGTTGTCGTCTCCGCGTACGGCGTCGTCAGAAGCCATCTTTCACCTCGACGTCGGCGTCGACGCCTCACTCTCTTCTCAATCGCGAATTAAAAGCTGACATCTTCTGCAATACTGAAATTGAAAGTGAAGGAAATCGAGCGTTAGTCAGCCCCTCGCTTGGCGCACTGTTAGAGTCAATATCCGCCTTTACCTGCGTTTGTTTCTCCGCCCACACCAGTCTCACGCTCCCACCTTTGTACGCGCGAACTTCCCATTTCAGTAGCTTCACATCTATTAGCCTCTGCTCCCTCTCCCTCTGAAGTCGGTTTCTATCCATGTCTCTGCCATTCGACCTCGATCCGGCGGCAGTTCTTGCGGGCCTGCGACTGCCTCCGCTACCACTCACTCATCTGCCTTTCGCTCTTCCGACATCATCTGCCGCTGCTATGGCTGGCCAATCCGTATACCCGCCTTCTGGAGGTCAAGAAACTCCTCGCAGCGAAGTAGATCTGGACTTGGGTATGTGACCCCACCATCTAACCCACTCCCACTGACGCAGCGTCCAGCCCTTCAGCTTCAAGAGCTCGAGATCAACACGCTCAAGGACACCGTCGCCAACCAAAAGGATGCGATCGCCGACCACAGGGAAGGATCGAAAGATCTCCGCGAGGCCGTCAAGGACCTTCGCGATGTCATCAAGAATCTTCGGGAGCGCAATGGCGACCTTCAAGAGCTCAACAGCCACCTCTCTGTCAAGAACGCGGCCCACGTCGACCAGCGAGACAAGCTTCAAGAGACCAAGATTGAGCTGGCAGAGCTTCGGGACGATCATGTTGAGCTAATCGACAACAACAAGCGCGAAGAGAGGCGCGTCGATGAGCTGAACGACAAGGTCAAGGAACAAGACGATGTCATCAAGGACCTTCGACAGCAATACTCAAGCTTAAGCACCACCTACCAAAAGCATAGTCTCTATGTATCTCGGGTCTCTGCAGCGTACAAGGCCAAGGACACGGCGTGCCAGGAACTCCAGAACAAGCATAAGGAGCTTCAGGTCACCTACATGACCAAGACCGGCGAGCATAGCGCAGCTATGAACGACCTATCTGCCTCGTATGAAGCTAAGGAATCAGAGCTACAAGAGCTGAAGGACGAGCTGCAAGAGCTTCGCGACTACTACAAGGGCCACGAAGAGCTTGTGGAAGGGCTGACGACTAAGACCAAGCAGCAAGACGGCATTATCAATGGTCTCAAAAGGCACATCGACGCCGTCGATAGCAAGCAGCGTTTCACCATCGTCGAGCTCACTGCCGCAATTAAGGCCAAGGACGAAGCGTTGCAGACACTGAAGGGTGAGCATGAGAAGCTTCAGGTCACCTACGCGACTACGACCAGCGACCATGGCGCTGCTATGAGCCACCTCTCTGCATCATGCAGGGCTATGGAAGAAGAGCTGGAAGAGCTGAAAGAGCTGAAGGATGAGTATGAGGAGTTTCAGGACAGGTACATCGCCGAAACTCACGAGAACTATGTTGCTATCAATGGCCTCCCTGAGGTATACGAGGCCAGAGAAACAGAGCTACGAGAGCTGAGGGACCAGCTGGAGGAGCTTCGCGACCGCTCCAAGGCCGACCATGAGCTGATTACTGATCTCACCTACGAAAACGGGCAGCACGACGAGACTATCGCTACACTGAACGCCAAGGTCAAGGAGCAAGATGATGCTCTCGCCCTGTCGCAGCAGCAAGTACAAGGACGAGATGACACCATCGCGGAGTTGAAGGAGCAACTCGCCGAGGCCAAGAAGAGCGAGGGAGTAGATGCTGATAGTATCGAAGCCATTCAGGAGTACATGCGACAGCTGGAGGAGAAGAAAACCGAGATCGAGGAGCTGCAAGAGCAAGTTCTCGGAGGCGTGTCCGATAAGACGGCGCGCAAGCTTGCCAATAAGCTGATGATCAAACACAAGAAGCGTGGCGAGACTCTTAAGGAAGTGAAGCGGCAGGTAAAGGCAAAGGATGCCTACATTAAGGGCTTGGAGGGACAGGTCTCTAACTTGGAGAGCACGATCCACCGCTTGGACAGCAAGATTGACCACTTGGAGGACGAATACTGGAAGGGTGTGCCTTGGTGTGTTTGAAGATACTCGCAAGAGTAAATGCAGACCGAGACAAGACGACTCGAGATACGAAAAAACTGTAAAATGACTGGTATCAAAATGAGCTATAGAGCCACCGACACATCCATGTGTCCTCCACTGAATGAAGCAAATGAACCCAATAGATACGGCTACCGTTCTCATATCCTGTCTTTCGTGACATTCCGAAAAAACATGAAGGCCGCAAATCCTTCCACTCAAATTCTTCCGCATACTAGTACACTGACGTCGGCTCCACACCGACCCTCACTACCTTCCCATCCCTACAAGGGCTGGTAATCCGTGCTAGTATCTCCAACCCAGCCATACCACAGCGCAACCACCGTATTCGCCGCAACCCAGACACCCGCGTAACCAACAGCACCGACAACATCCGTGCCAATGAGCGTCATACACCGTTGAACGGTACCCGCGAACAAGAAGGCATTCAGAATAACAGTCTGCTGAACAAGCGTCCTCGTCCTCTTACTATAGTTGAAGAGGTTATGCTCAATAGTCTTCGGCAGCGTGGCAGTACTAGGATCGAAAACCTCAACCGGCGTCGCCACCCCACTCCTCTGCGCCGCAAAACTCGGATTAAGCAAAAACGCCTTCGCGGCCCATCCCACCACAATAGTCTTCGCCAAAATAGACACCGGAGACTCATTGTGCGCCGCTTCCAGCGTAGGAATATCGAAGTACTGAACCAAGAACGTGTTCAGGAAACCGCTTGTCTGGCCCGCCCACAGCACGACAATGTACACGGCGATGGCGAGCATGGACGACGAAACCTGCACTTGGATGCTGTTGAGCAGGAAGCGGTTGCGCAGGGGCTCGTTGTTGCGGTGGACGATGGAGCGGGGGCGGAGGAGGTATGTGGGTATGGCGAAGGAGAGGACTTCGATGGTTATGTTGGCGGCGGCGGTGAGGGCGCTGATTTCGTAGTAGGTGGTTAGGAGGTAGGTGAAGGGCGCGTAGGTTAGGACGGTTAGGGCGGAGACGTCGAAGACTGTTGTTCCCATTAATGTTAGCCATACCTCCCATCATATCATATCTATTAGAGGTGGAGGTAAGAGGAAAGCGCGTCTTACAGTCATAGTTAAAATACCACGTCATCCACACAGTAACCCAGCGCATCGCGACGCGCGCCGCCGGCGAGTAAAACGACGTGACATCGTCCTCCTGCGGCACTTTACTCACAGCACCCAACTCCGGACGCAGAAAGTTCGCCGTAAACTCCCACAGCAGCATGTTGATGCCCATGTTCAAGCTGATGAGAATGGGCACGCGCAGCGCCGTCGGGAGACGCGAGCGCGCGGGTGCGCGTTTGGGTGCTGGGACGACATCGGGCGCGGTGCGCTCGATGAGTGCCGGTGGTGCCATTTGTCGCGTTGAGGTTGTGGTTGTGAATAGAGAGAGAGGGTGGTGATGGGAGTGACGGAGAGGTAAAAAAGAAAGTTTGAGGTTGTGCGCGCAGGGCTGGGATGGGGTGGGCGCGATGGCTCCGTGGGGATGAGGGATGGAGCTTGTGTTGGAGCTAGTACGAGATCTTTGTTTTGGACCTGCGTCATTGCGCGACGGGCAAAATAGTGAACCGTGTCCGTGCGCGAGGCAATCTGGACGCATGTTAAGTGATATTTGTACTGCGAAGAGGTGAATGTACTGTTCGGTGATTACATATTTAGCAATGAGGTACCATGCGAAGATCCACGGCCTCATCCGACTCAGAATTGAGGTGGTAGCATACTTCGACATCATCTTAGCGGTGGACTAGATGAATAGAATCTTGGAAGTCTTTCATTAGATCTGCAACCTCGTACCTCCCCATCACCACTCTAAACAAGATACCTAAAATCGCCCATCTGCTTCCTCCCCTCCTCAACACTAACCCCCTCCACAGCAGCCGTCTGCTCCGCAACATCTCCATGCACAACCCACGCATCAGTCCCATCATCCAACCGCTTATTCAACCTCACCAAAATAACCCTGAAAACAAAGCATCCCGCAATCGTAACCCCAAACATCGCCGTAACAACCCCATAGCTGTTCCTGTACCCATTATCCGACATATTCCACACATAACTCCCAGCAATGTTACCGAGCTGCGAGAACGCGTTGATCATGGCGATTGCGACCGCGCGCTTGGCGGGGGGACGCGGGAACGAGGACGAGATCCACGAGTAGAAGACGATGAAGCCGGCGTAGGAGGAGGCTTGTAGGAAAAGGGCGACGTAGCGGCCTGCGGTGTTTGATGTGGCCATTGAGATGACGAAGCCGACGATGCCTAGCATGATCGGGCAGACGATGTGCCAGAAACGCTCTTGCTGTCGATCCGCATGCCAGGCGTTGATGAGCGAGACGACGCAAGCGAAGGCCCACGGCGGCGCGGACATGAGCAGCGTGGTGATGTAGCCGAAACCGAGCGTGCGCGTAAGCGTAGGGAAGAAAGCGTTGAAGCTCAATCCGACCACGTACGCTGTGAACGTGAGCATCATGACATAGATCTTGAGATCCTTGACCGCCATGAAGAAACCCGCGAAAGCAGATTGTTCGGCAGAATCTTCATCTGCTTCGCCGACATCCTCGGTCATGCGCAGGACAGCGACGGCACGCTCTTCTTCGGTGAAACCCTTTGAGTTGTGTGGCAGATCGGGGAGGATGAAGATGGCGGAGATGGCGATGAGCATCGTTGCTGCGCCTTCGATCCAGTACAGCCATCTCCAGGCCCGGTGTCCGAGCGTGCCTTCCATGTTTCCTAGTACCGCGGCGCCGACTAGGGATGAGAAGGCGTTTGAGATCAGGTTGCCACAGAAAAGGATCGCGTTCCGTAGCGTGAGTTCACGGCGCGTGTACCATTTCGACAGGATAAGCAGCGCACCAGGTAGGAAGGCGGCTTCGACGAAGCCGATGAAGAAACGGATTGCGACCATGCCGGCGAAGTTCGTCACGTTGCCAGACAGAGTAGAGATCATGCCCCAGATGAGCATTACAACAGCGATGTAAAGCGATGGACGCGGAATCTTGTTGATGATCATGTTGGACGGGACCTGCATCAGGATATATCCCACGTAAAGAATAGACAGACATGTGCTGTACTGCGTGGGGCTGAGACCGAGGTCTTCTTCCAGACCGCCCAGACGGGCGGCGGCGATGTTGTTGCGGTCGAGATCTAGAGGCACTCGTTAGTAATGGTTCCCTTATCTGCACATGTGGTATGAGAGGGAGTTACTCACAGTTCATGATATAAATCAACACAAAAAGCGAACATCTCGCATCCAACTTCCTCTTCAACTTCTTCTCCACCTCCGCCCTTCTCTCTGGACTCATATTCGCCGCAAGCCCACCAACCTTCGCTGCGTGGTGGTGTTCGGAGATCTGCGCGGCATCGTGGGCGGAGATCTTGTCGTCCGCTGGGTACTGTGTCGACACCATCTTTACCAGAGGTCTTTCCAAACGGTCCCAAATTCCGAGCTGCGTTTCTTTCTCGGATGGATTGGCAGACCGGAGATAAACAGACGTTCAGTCAAAGATCTGGGGTCCCCTCCTTAATATACACAAACCGAAGTCGGCTCCTCCGACTTTGCGGCTTCTCCAGATTTTTGTGGTAACCTTACCCCACTATACGGAGCTTGGCTTGTCTAGCATGCAGGTAGTTCGCCGTCAACCAAATACCGTTGCATCCTCCGCCCGTCACTCCAACTAACTACGGACTGCGTGCATGATGCCCCAGTCATTTGTCGAATTTTTCTGGTGGTAGCTCGTGTGTTCTGATTAGTCTGCGCGCACGACTCATGCAGCGATGGAGGCGATGGAAACCAGCGGCGATATGTGCCTGTGAAAGAAGTCTTTCCCCGCATTAGCTCTTTCCTCCGTCCTGCCTCCGTCCTCCCTCCCTGGTCTCCCTCGCCGTCCATCCAGTCTCATCAGCCAGCCCTCCCGACATTGTTGATTGATTAGTAGGCCGAGCACTTGGCCCGCCATCTTGAACATGACCAAGAGCTCCAAGCACCTGAGGTTGCGCGGGAGGTAGTCTTGAGTCGCGCTGCATACTGCGCCCGGTACTGGCACTCGGCTTCTGGCTGGGGCTTGTTCAGAAGCCGATGGCGACGTCGCGTAAGTAAGTTCGATGGGCAGGATCCGACAGCCGGCCGCGTTAATGCATGCCGAAGCGAAGCGAAAGGAAGGCGCATGCGTCACTCCGACGTGCCAACGAGGGAAGGAACGGCCTGGGGACACGGCAACGCAACGGGACGGCGTTTAGGTTGGGGCTTTTGAGCCGCATGCAAAGCGCAGAATTGAGGTCGCAAGCTGCAGTCGCATGTCGCATGGTAAGAGGAACGCGTCCGAAGAGTCGCGCACTACCTCTCCATTCTTCCACAATGTCGCATACAAATCCCCCACTCGCCACATTCCCTCCACGCACAGCGACGTCCTCCCCAGACCACCCACACCATCCACCCAGCACCGACAAACTGCGGAGACTGGAGACTCCGCTTGCTCCGCTTGCTCCAAGCGGAGAAAGACGCACATCCTCATGTGACGCCGAGCCGCACGTTCACCGCCTTGATCCAACCATCGGCAAACCGCTGGAGATAGCACCGGTTCGTCGTGAGTGCAAGTGTACGTAAATCGCCGCCGAGCAGCTCCGCGGGTGAACTTCGGATCGGAGGTGGTTTTTTGTGGGTCGATTTTTAGGGAGTTTTGCGGGTGGGGGTGAGTAGAAAGACATGGGTAGGTGGGTGATTAGTGAACGTGCTGGTGGTGCTGCTGCCCATGTAGCAGTGAACTTCTGACTTTTGGTTTTCGACGTTTTGGAGGGGTTGGTGAGGTATTGACACAGCTGACACGACCTGATGCGAGACCGGCTGTATTTGTAGTGGAGTGTCGCACGGGGGAAGAGAAGGAACATCGCAAGTTCAAAATCTGGCTTTTTGGACACCCGCCATAACGTGGTGGTGGCGGTATTTTGTATTGCACGTCGACATCAGGGTAGGCTTGCGGCT